TGGAAAACATAACAAGAAGTTTCCTCAACTGCTCAAACCCACCAAGAGGGTGGGCCACTACAGGCCACTGCGCCTCCGCAGCCTGCGTGATGATGAGTGGGAAAGAACCTTTCCTTTAACATCAGTTCAAAGAACAACTTCAAGGGGTGGAGGACAAGCATTAGTATGGCCAGCACCTCGTACTGGTAAAACATCCTCTCTCCTTAGCTCATGAAATGCCAGACCAGGAGGCAACTCTGCACTGGGTCCTGCTCAAGCAGCCAGTGCAGAGAGCAGGATCCTGTTGCAGCGGCTGGCCAACAGCCCCATGACGGCCGATCTTCCACTCCAGAGCCATGTGAAGATGTGGCACTGCCTTCCCCCTGGCCGTGCACGGGGCATGATGCGACACGTCCCTGCGCGTGGTTCTCTTCTTGACGACACTGGTGCATGCTGATCCAGCGGTGCTGACAGGATGACTCTGCTACATAACGACCCACATAGAGTTGTGGGATAAAACTCTACCTCTGAATTATAATACTCAATTAATACTGCATAACCGGTAAGCCCTTTGCCAGCCACATTCACCAGGATCACATGGAAGCCCTGCGTGTGGATTACTGCCATTGAAAGCTACTGCTCGGCAGTGAGGATACTACGGAGAGGAGAAATCAGCCTGTGGCAAGCAGCTCTTCAGGCACTGAACACCACAAATCTCCATCAATTTTATGGAAGGCAGTTCTGAGCTGTTACTGGGGAGGGGGCAAGATAATTTGGGGAAGGGATGTGCAGCTCATAGTTCCTGTGTCCCCACAGGCGGCAAGGGCAAGTGATTCCTCATGGCAGTGCTATATCTTACAAGTTTGCTTTTCCTTTTGCCTGGCACCCCCTCTGCTGTTAATTCTAGGTTAAAGGCTGGTGGCAGCCTTTGAAAATGACCCTCTAAATGCATCACCATGGAGACTCTTCCAACCTTTTACTATCCACATATGCTTTGCTTTCTCCGCTCTGCCCCATGATGCTCCGCATGATTTGAACTTCTCACTGGCCGACAAACTTTGTATTTTCAACCTAGCATCCTGCTCAGCTCTCGTACTGGCTGCTGTCACCAGGTACGGGTAACCCTCAACAGCAGATGGCAGTGGGAAGGAGAGGAGGAGAAGGGTAGGTCTGGGAGGTAGCCTGGAGGGTGGAGGGGAAATGTAGGAATTGCAACAAGCTGCCTGAAAATCTCATTGTGGTAATTTTTGTTAAGTATTCACACATGCAACATGCACATGCACAGCAGTATTTCACAGTGTCGGTGTTAGCAAGCGTCTCCCCCTCATTACATGTTCTCCCCATGAAGTTGAATTTTGCCATTCGACTCACATTTCATAGCAGTACATTTGATACCAATCAACCAAATGCGTTAAAGTCACTTTGACGATGCTGCCCTCCACTGGAGCGTGCTCCAGAGGCATTTACAACCCAAGTACTTAGCAGGAACTTGGTTCCTCGTGCTCCCAGGAGAGCTGGAGGGATTTTTATAGATCATGCCTATTTTAGGTCCAGTTCTCCGTTACTCGCACACAGCTAAACACAGACAGATGTCACAGCAATACCTGGTATAAACAGATGGGAATGTGTTACTTTTAGTGCCAACGCCATGTGATTTTTGGTCAGAAGAAGAGACAAGTTATGTGCTTTCTCTATCCTGCAGGTAGCTGCCACAGCTTTGGTGAGCTGTGGCACTGAGCTCGGTGCGGTCCCATCCTTCACAGTGGGCTGGGTCTGGTAGGTAGATGTGTATAATGCCAGCCAGCGAGGAGATTCAGTGCATTAAGACAAAATGTCTCCAAATGAAGAAGACCTGAAGTGCCCTTCTAAGCCCTGTCTAGCAGTGACTGGCTCTGAAGGGCTGCTGCCTGGCCACTGCTCCTCCCTAGAGTCTGCAGGAATGTAAGAGATGGCAGAGAACAGTCAAGAATTGTCTGGGAAGGACAACTGAAGGACATCATGTGCTCCTTCCACATGGCTGCCCCACAGGAATTTGCTGGTGAGTTTTCTAGACAGACAGCTCTCCTTGCAAAGCTCCCTTGTACACAAAGCAGCCGGCTGGCTGTGGCTAGACAACTTGGCAGAGCACGTGCTTCCCCTCACCCTGCACTGCCACCAAACAGTTTCAGACATGCCTTTGGAAAGACCGGTAACTGTTCCTCCTTAAAATACAGCAGCTACAATGGAGATGGAGATGCGCAGTGAGAGCAGTCCTTGCTGCTGCTCCGCTCTGCCTCAGGACAGGGTGCACAGGGAGGCTTCCCCTTTCTCCATGCGCCCTCTGCAAGCGCCTGGTGTGGCTTAGCTGACACCATCCAGTTTTGCGTGCTGCTCCTTAAAAGTGGAGTCCGTTTCCAGGAACTTTTTAAATTCCAGGTGCTTTTTAAATTCAAGGCCATTAAAAGCATTGCTTTGTGAGATGCTCACGTTAAGACAGGTTGGATACAGGGCAGATGGATGATGATGTCCAGGCACCACCCACATGCCACATGCCGATAGTCCACCCACCCCTCTACATCATATCCTGCCATCTGAAAGAGATGTAGGGCAATGGCATTGCTGTCACAGGGCATGTGCTGGGGACACTGGGAGGAGAACCCTGCACACTCACCACACACTGCTACTGATGTTCACATGACTACAGACGCGCTTCGGGATGCAAGAACAGGGAAGTCCTCATACAAACAAGAATACAGTCCTGCGCTAGAGATTTCAGACTAATAGGGGCTGGAGGGAAAAGTCCTCCAGTGAAGGCCGCTGCTGCTGAAGCTGCACACCAAGCGCTGGGATGGTGCAAAGCTAAGCAGAGAACGGCCTGCTGCCGCTCCTGAGTGCTTTGTTGTCGGATTTGGTCTGCATGTGGAAAATGCCAAGTATTTATAAACGGCCTCATATTTTACAAGCAGCCTAGAGAGAAGACTTCTGGTGACAGAGGTCTAGACAGCTTGGGAGTCTCAGCCACAGCAGACACACTTCCTTTTGGATTCAGCTCCTGGAAAATACAGAAAACCAGCTCCCAATGAACATGCCTTCAACACCCCATGCTGCTGAAAACAAGTGGAGGACCCTACGAATGACATGGCAATGGCAGACAAGGGCTTGTAAACTCAAGTTGTGCTAGCCATGTCCAGCAGATGTGTGGGAATACACCCACGTGGCCAGCAGTGGTGGCAGCAGGCATGTTTATAAGGATACGAGGCACAGAGAGAACAAGCCCGATTCTCATTTGTATCCCCCCTGCGCTTGGTTGGTAGTATTTACACATACCAAAGACCTGGTCAGTAACTAAAGTATTTATTTCAGTTATTTATAAACCCACTGATTGACTCTTCAGCTTCAACCACAGCATTTTGCTTCTGGAGATCCAGGCTACCAGATCAGAGTTTTTGCCTTTGCTGTCCCAGGCTCTCCTGGAGGTGACTGGCTGAGCCTAAAGCTGCCTCCGAGCCCCCAGACCAGCACCTAATGAAGGGACTGGGTCCCCGAAGGGCACGGAGCACATCTGCAGAGTTTGGTTACTATGGTGAACCATCCACAGCCTGACAGCTAACAATTCAGACGCCGAGAAACCACGTGCAGCAAGGTCCTCTCGGAGGACCAGGCTTACCCT